TTTTGAGAATTTTTGGCAAACCTAACCTTTGTAGCTATGATTTCACATGTTGGTTGCAGAACATTTGCACCAAGTTGTGGATGAACCATCTCCAGACTAAGGTCTCAGTCTTGGCAAACACATGCATGTGCATTATGCAGAATACTGCAGAATTCCAAGGAAGCTGACATAATCCCCGATAGGTTACAGAGAGGAAAAATTTCTATGAATGATGCATGAGCTGTGACTATGCGGAGGCTTGGGTGTAGCTTGAAGTGAAGTGCCTGGGTTGGCCTTTGAAGAACAGGAGTGAGAAATCATTCATGAAAACACATCAGTGAATGTCTTGAAATACCGGAGGAAATGTTGAGGTGTAAAAGGTTATCTCAGGAAATCTCAAAGTACCCAAAGATAGTGCCCAAAGAGAAAGAGATACTGCAATCATACTACTGTTTATTTACTGGAAACAATCTTTCAGCTCTACTGTAAAAATAATACATATCTGCTTACATTTATACCACTGACACTGAGATTTGAGACTTAAAATAAAGCTGGCCTAAATCCAGACCTGATGTGAGGTGTTTAGCGATCACTGACTTCAGCATAGTGACAATCACATTGAATTCTCTCTAACTGGGGCCAAATACTGTTTTTGGAAATTGGAAAAGCCTCATCCAAGTTGTATAAAGCCTAAGGATGTATTGCATAAGCATGTCCTTATCAGACTTCTTAAAAAGCCTTGAGACTATCAAGCCAACATGATACAGATGCAATTTTGGGATAAAAGTGATTAATCAGGACCTAAAAGAACATCTCTCACTTTCAAAACTGAGGAGTTGTGGGGTTTTTTAAATCCTATTCAGGAAGCCAGGCTCTGCCAGCAGACTGGGCAATCCCTTCAACCATTCACACCCAATACTTTGCTGTAAGGATGCCTACCAACATGGCAGTGCCTGCATCTCCAGTGAAACACATGAAGAGCTTGTACAGGTGGTGGGTGCAGAAGAACCTGGCTGGGAAATAATGGATCTGTCTTGGCTGTGAGAAAAGCAACTGGGGTCAGTCAGACCCTAGGAAAGACAAATAGCCTACAACTGATTTCCAAAAAGCAAACTGAAAAATGTTTAGCAGTGCCAGAGAAGTGGAGCTTACTCAGCATGTGGTTGCAGTGCATGACCATAATAAGCTCATTTGTCCGGGACAAACCCCAGAGGGAAACTGAGTGACTTCTGGGTACAGGGAAGGGAATTGAAAGAGGCTGAATATTTCAGGAGTTCTTGGTTGCTGAAGTGTTTTTTAAAGATCTCTTTATTACTCAGATACATTCCTGAATTCCTACATTGAGGTTATTGCATCATTATTTACTTACTGGTGTAAAAGTGTATCTGCCTTGTACCCAAACTCTCCCTCATGTGCTTCACCAGTATGAGTTGAATTACACAGGAGGATCAGTTTGGCCAATGCAAACCACTAGAAGGATCTCAGAAGACAGAGCTAAGAATGGGAATAGGTGAGATTTCCACATCCAGTGTGCACACTTACAAACATCAGTTGTAGTCTGCACTGAAACAGGTGAGGAAAGAGGCTGGGGCAGTGTCACAGACATCCCCACACAAATAACTCTGGACCATATGACACTGACCCTTCAGCACGTCACATTTCTGGAGCTTTCTGCAGAATCTCCAAAAGTCTAGTTATGACCATCAGCCTCGGGCCTCATGCATGGCACTTGCTTTGGGGTTGAGCTATTCAAAATTGGTTCAAAGACTTAAACCAACAAAATGTGATGGGTGTAAATCACTTGTCTGCACTCATGTCAGCTAAGAAACAGAATTTGCTTGTGCCATATTGTCTTACAGCTTCCAAATGCAGAGCCACACTACCACTTCTGCAGCTTCTGTAAATTCTCCTTGTATACAGATACATGTGCAGTGCTTTACACAACACACATTGAAGAGTCTAAGGACCCTTGTTATCTTTGCATTGGAGAGCATCAGTCATGCAAATTAACACCAGCTGAGGAGTTTGTCCATCCAGAATGGAGATTTATTTTAACAACAGTTCCTGTCAGGCTTGAATAACATTAAGGCATCCTTTTATTCCTTCTCTCTCTTTTTTTTTTTTTTTTAAATTAACATCTTTGTGCTACAGCATTTCCATTGTGTTCTACTACAGCTACATGCTACGGAAGATATTCAGTAGCATACTCTGTGAATAAGCCAGACTGGAGAACTTGCATGACCACAAACTGTACTGATTATATTGCTCTGCTGGCTCTAGACAGAGAAAAATTAATGTGTAAGTTTTGCTGATGCTGACACCATGTTTATGAGACAAAAAAAAGTTGACTCTTCTAAAAGCTAAGTCAAAAAAAGGTAAATATGAGTACAGGCTCCCAACTGAGAAGGAGAGAACTCTGTGTGAATGGCCCTGGACACTACACTCAGTGGTGGTGGGTGACCAGTCCTCAAAGAAGCTTAGTTATTTTCAACAAAGGTGTTGTAGTCAGATAATCACCAGTTGAAAAGCAATTCTGTGAGATCCAGCAAACTCTTAGGTGAAATAATGTTTTGTTGTCTGTGTCAAAAAAGTCAATCTCCTAAAAATATCTCAAAGCTAAATAAGCCAGATGATAGGATCCATTCAGCTCTATAACAATGGATCATTCATCTCTTGCCATTTTTCTCCCTCTGGCATCTAACCTGACTAGCATGAATCACTTGGTTCATTTGTCAGAATAGTTTCTCCTTCGAAATCATGGTGATCTATATCAAAGATTACTGCAATGACTGCTTTCTTTTGCCTTTATTTCCATTATTGCACTGACATTAGGTGCTGTACAAACACACAGTGAGGGGCAGTCTTCCTCATGAGGACCTACATTTAAACAGACATGACAGCTGACAGGCAGGAGAGGCAAAGAGCTGTCCCTTCCCTGCTTGGCCAGGGAGAGCAGAGCCAGAGGGAAGCCACACATACCCAGACCAGGGTCTGTGACCTCATCTGTGCGGCCAGAATATTGTCTTTTAACCATATGGTAAAAATCCTTGTGCTAGAAGACCCTCTGTAGTGGGTTAGAATAAAGAATCATTTTCTGAGCAGACCTGGAATTCTGTCTGCTTTTAGGGAGTCCTGGCCTCAAAGGGTGATGGTCTATTGGAAACAGACCCCTGACTAGGAAATGGAGAGTTTAGATGTTATAAACTGCTACTAATTTATTATTTTGAGACTGGCATATATTTTGGGAAAATTTAAGTTGGCTGGAGTGATAGTGAGTGATGAAAGATGTTATGGCAGTTGAGAAGTGGCTGAATTCCTTTGTTTCCAGACTTTCCACCTTTTTTTTTAAGGCACAGACTGTTTATATAGAAAGTGTAATATTGTTTTATGGGTATTTGCTGGATCCTGCTAAAACCAAGGATTCAAGCTTTACTCTTTTAACAAAGTGTTTTGTTATGGAATTCCTCTGGGTTTTGATGTTTCTAAATTAGGGTTAAATCAGGTTGGTATGTGGGGGCCATGGGAGAACAGCCCAGAAGTGAGAAACTGTCTGATGTCTAACAGGGTGTGCTTCCTCTCCAGGAGGTGATGTGATGATAGGAAGAAAAGGCCTTCTCAACTGGACATGAAGAAGCCATAACATAGAGGCACAAAGTGGGGCAAAAAGGGGCTTTTAAGCACTAGGAAAATGTAAGAGTTTGACATCTTCAATGCAAGGTCCTGCCTGCCCCTTGTCTGCTCTCTGGTCCACCAGAGCCCGCATGTTTCCCATGTTTTACTTCCATCACCTGGGACACATGAGCACTTTTAGACCAATGGTTATAAACTAGCATTCCTCCTTCCTGATCGTCTCTATTTTTCCCACCAAGACTGTGGTATTTGATGAGACATGATACACTCAGGAAACAAATTCTTGTTTGTACTATTTCTCTGCCCATTTCCTTTGCATTCATCTCCTCCAAGTCAGCTACTCACAAAACTCATTGGCTTCCTGCCCTCAGCTTGGCCCACTAAACCCTGGAGTCAGACTCCAGCCTTTTTGTTTTTACAATAAAGGACAGCCTTGAACAGAGCTCTGAGCTGCAGCATCCTGGGATGTCGTAGCAGCACAGAGAAAACCTTTAAATCATTAAGAATCAGAAGCTGCTCAACTCAGCGTTTTGTTGCTGAGAGCATCAGGGCTTCCTTCAAGCTGAGTACAAGGAAAAAGAGGGGACTCTCTACTACAGCTAGGGAAAAACAATTCCAGACTAACTCACAAAGCTTTCTAGGAACAAAAGGCAATTTTTTGATTATGTCATGCAGTCTGTGTTGTGATAACTTTCCAAGTCTGTATTCTCCCATTTAATACTCCACTTTAATGAAGACATAACATAAAGCTGCTACTCTGCTCCTGCCTCCTTGCATTATAATCTTCATAAACTCTTCCCAAGTAGCACTGAGCACTTCCAGTCCTCAAAAAGACTTTCCGGCCCTAGCAATGCTGGAGAGCAAATAAGCCAGTAAGAAAAAATGAAGCAAAAGAGCTGTGTTAGACAAATTTAAGAACAAGGCATAGGGATCCTCATCCTGACTAAAATAAAAGACCAAAGTGCCCATGGCTTCAACAAGCATTATACCTTCAAACTATACAATTTTTAATTTTTTTTTTCAAACTACTAAACATATATTGAGATTTGGCTTAGCACTGAGAGGCCTCAGCTGGAATACTTTTAACAGTTTTGGGCACTGTGCTTCAAGAAAGATGTGAACCAACTGGAGAGAATCCAAATGAGAGCAAAAAGAATGATCAAAGGTCCAGAAAATGTGATGTATGAGGAAAGACCAAAAGAATTGGGTTTGTTTAGACTAGAGAAGAACAATCTGAGGGGAGACATGACAACAGTCTTCAGACACGTTAAAGACTGCTGCAAAGGGGAAGATAAACTGTTCTCTATTTCTAATGGAAGTAGACTAAAAAGCAACAGATTACAGTACTGGAGATTCAGATTGGACTTTAGGAGAAATTTTATATTGGTTACAGCAGTTATACCTGAGAAAACAATGCCTATGCAAACTGTGGGATCCCGCTGTTTGAGATGGGGGTATTGCTGCTTTATGGTAGAAGCATGAATGATAGAAGTCCTAGTCCTTTTCAGCTTGTTTTCCCCAATGTTAGGAATGTAGGAGAGACAGTGCAGGTGAAAAGAACAATTTATTTTTTCTGAAGGAATTTGGACACGTCTGACCTGAGTACTCTTTGAACAGGAGATTAGTTGCAGCCGTAACTACAGAGATGGTATTACTACCTTGTAACCATTAGAAACTGTTTGCAACTGTCACACTTAGGGAAAAATAAAATTCTGATTCTTATCTGCTCCAAAGTCCCTACTTATTCTGGAAATTATTCTGGCAGTGGAAGCCTGTGTCAAAGATCTTGAGTACAAATAAGTATACAATCCTAAATGTTGTGAAACACACCATCCAGTGATAGATTTCTCTAAACTCTGTTATATAGAAAGATTTAATATAGGAAGGAACCCAAACATGTGACACTTTGTAAGAAAGTAAAAGATTACATAGTACAACATGTATTTTGGAATGAATTTACAATGAATTTTAACTATAAAATAGAATCAAAGAAAAAACAGGTGAAACTAAGACAAATGCAGGGTGAATTGAGACAAAGGGCCTGACTGATAATTCCAGAGATAATTGGGAATGCAAGTTAGGACTTCGGAGATCCCTTGTTTTGATAGGTGGGGATTTTGTTTCTGTTTCTGCTTGTTTGTCTGCTTTCCGTTTATAATGAAAAAAAAATTAAAAAAAATGCAAGATTGCAAAAGCCAGCTTTTTCCTCAGTTTCATTGGTGCTTTTTGCTAAGCAGCCTTGGAGCTACAGAGGTTCACAGTCTTTCACATAGACTTATGCCCTAGAAGTGTTTACAGCGAAGAGTCCTTAAAATACATGACCACATAGAGAATCACATGGGATCTGCTGAAAATACATCTTCAGATGTCTGCATACTGGTAGGGACTGTGCATGAAGAGGCCTCCCTGCTCAGACAGGCATAGGTCACCGGGTCTGTAGAGATAGTGATTTGGTTTGGAGCTGCTATATGTACTGGCTTTTGAGGAGAGAGTTCTGCAGAGGAGGAACTGTCTCTTTTGGTTTCATGTTTCCAGGGCACAAACTCAAGGTTTAGAAGGAGTACTGTGATACGAATATCCTCAGCCGGATGACAGAGCTTCCTCTGAAGTTGATGACAGTGTTAACAGTGATCATTTCCAAGTCCAACTCAACAGTACGGGGCCCCTTCACAGGGCGGGTCATCACCAGAGTAGCACTGATCGGTCCCGTTTGCTGTGCACAAAACAAGAGAAAGCAGGTGAGATTGCCAAAGCCAGCTCTTGAAAACTACTCTCTCACTATGGTCTTCGAGCAGCCAAAATAGGTGTTTTCTGTTGCATTGTTTGTAACCGCTGCAACTGATAGGACAGAGCATTTGGCTCCTTTTCAGGGTTTTATATGAACTGTCACCTTCTACAGTTTGTAAAGCCTTTAAGAGCCCTGCACATAAAAAGAGCTATTGAACATAGACACTTGCTATTGCCCAAATGGAAAAAGATGAAAACATGGATTTAGGGTATAAACAAGTAGTGTCACCTTTTTGTTTGTTTGTCTGTTTTTGTGAGATACTCTTTAGTTTGATGTAAAAGACAGTGTTACTGTGAAGCAGCGAACACTGAGAAGGGGTTATGTTAACAGAGCTTGGAGAACAGACATTCCCATGTGAACAGGGTCCAGGCTTGTGGTACATTGTGTATGTTAATGGCACAAACCTCACACTCCAAAGAGAGTTTTGAATATGTGACGGCACTTCAGAAAACCAGTCCTTTATTAAATGGAAGCAGACCTTTGCAATGTCTGGCCAGAAAAGTGGATTACATGCATTTAAAAATCAGAACTGCTGACACTAAAATCAGAAACCTTGAAACTGGGTGTTTGTGTTACCTTTGATAAGAGCAGGCCAACATAGCCATCAGGAGGTGCTGGGTGGGCTGCCCGGTGCTGGGCCTGGTCCTGGTGCCTCAGTGTCCCTCCCTCCCAGCTCTGCTTGCCCACCACCCAGGGAATGGCTGTGGGGTAACTCAGAACCAGCAAGCTTGGGCAATGGTGATGGGCTCTGGGGCCTCAGTGCCTGGTGGACTGGCCAGGATGAGGGGAAAATGTCAGTGGAACCAGTAATGACTTTACAACAGGAAAGCTCTTGTGAGATATAATGATTGTAACAGGACCATTTGTCAATTCGTGGTTTTGAAGCCTTTTCCTTTTCTGACAGTGGGAATCTGAGGCTCTTGTGAGAAATGTGTCCTGGAATCTATCCCACTACCGGTGTCCATGAGAGAGGGGAACTGTCAGTAGCCACTGAATGTGACTTTATGCGAATATCAGAGCCACGTTTTGCCTACAGCTGAAAATTACCCTCCTCAGTGTCACCACCCCTCATGGAGGTGCCCCATTCTGTGCAGACACTCCCATCACCCCTGCATGTCAGTGGCATGATAAGGATGACTGGAGAAAAGAGAGGTCTTCTGAGAAAAACTCAAATTAAAAAAACACAGGTAGTTATGTTTTCTCTAACAGGAAAATTTTCTCAGTGAAAAAAATGGATAGCAAATGAAAGCAAGGAACACAGAAAGTCAATTCCTGGCATAAAGGGGTGGGGTTTTTGCTTACTTTTGTATTTTTCACAACTTTCGATTTCCAATGAATAAAATAGACAAGAAACATTGAATCTTTTGGTGACAATTACTGATTGTCCATCATATAAAAAACAGTTTGGCACAATAATTTCTCTTGAGCATGGGAGACCTGAGCTATTCTTAGGCATGGGTACAGCCCTGGGCTTTCCTAAACCTACCATCTCATAGGATAAGTGTGTTTGCCTTGGGTAGGTTACTTTCCTGAGAGATCCAACAGTTCCTACGGATCAGCACACTGGTCTGCACGTCTGTATGTAAAAATGCCTCATAGTGAAGGTTTAAATGATATTGATTAAAAGATTACTTCTGCTATCAGGCCATTCAGCTAATGAGAAGATATTTCATATTTTCCCTCAGTGAGTGCTAGACTTACCCGCATGTAGAATTCTCTACCCTCATTCCCTGATTTGATTTGGAAGATGTAATAGGCTCCAGGATAGCGAGTTGTTGCTTGCATCTGAAAAATGTCCGAAGGCACAGACCTCCCAGACACCATGTCCATCACTCTGTACAGGATGGTGAACGGCTGATCTCTGCAACCAGGGTTTTCAGCTGGACACATGCAGCGGCTAATTGTCAGAGATAGAATTGTCATTAGGGGTTACAAATGTCTGTAATATTTGATTCTTTATATGCAAATACAGATGCATAAATAAATAAACAAAGAATATTGCTGACCAGCTAAAAGAATCAATGAAACTTGTAATAAACTTTCTCACTTTTAATATTCTCTTTGTTGCTATTCTGGCCTACTTATATCACTGCTTCCTTTTTGTTGTCTTCTAGGCCAAAATACCTTCACGTTCTTTGTCTCCTTAGATCACTCAAAAATGTGTACTTTCTGTGGAGCAGCTCTGCAGGTATAGAATACTCGGTACATGTTTGTTCTGATAGTAATTTAAACTGAACTGTCCCCAAAATAATGTTAATTAATGGATCATTTTGCTGATAGTGCTACATAAATGTAGTGCTATTTGTTTAGAAATATTTTATATACTACATGAGAACATACAGTGAGACATCTTGGATCCAAACAAAGCTATAACATCAAATGTAGAGCTCTAAGGAAGAAGAGGATAATGAGCCAAGTGTATGACACTTCCACCAACAGCCTAAAATTGGTTGTGACTCAGGGAATTCTTGAAGCAAAGATGTCTTCTTTGTATTCATCAGCTCTTAATACATTTCTTATCTATCAGCTTTTCCAGCTTTCCCTTACACACACATAAATGTCTGGCATCCAAAGCCCCCTGTGGTGAGGAGCTTCCACAGTCCCCTTCATCTTTCTCTGCATGGTGCCTTTTCTGGCTTTATCTTATGCTCCCAGCTCTTCTGTTTGAAAGGAGTGCAGCCAGTCAATCCCTGCTCATCCTTTTCATACAATTCAGGACTTCATATTTGATCCTCTTCATAGCTGAAGTGTCCTAACTTAGTCGTTTCTCAAAAAGAAGCTATTCCATACTTTTGATCATCCTCATTGCTCCTTATGAACCTTTGTCCAGTTATATTTCTATTGAGAGGAGGGGAAGGAACTGCACGGTCTTAAAGATGTGGTACATAATAGCATATGCCCCAAGGATATTCTCTACCTACCAACACCTCAAATTCAGGTTGCTTTTCTGACCTCTGGTGAGTACTGCAGATCATGGAACTAGAATAACCCTCAAATGTCCGTTTGGATGGATTATGATCAGATCAGTGCTCTTTACTGGATTTGTGAATTTGGGATTGTCTTTTTATTTTACATTCATCTACACCGAATTTCATCTGCCACTTTTATTGTAGTCATTGAGGCTTATTCTGCAATTTTTTTCTAGTCACTCTTTTATCTACTGTCCTCAGATACCGTTGCTGACTTTGACCATCTCGTGGTTTATTCTTTTTCCCAGGTTGCTTTTGATGGGCCAAGTAGGTCCAGCTTAGACCTCTGAAGCAGAACTTCAATGTGCAATTTGACAATTTAATACTGTCCTCTATTTATTTTTTGTCTTTCAGTCTCTTATTCTTCTGTTCCAGGGACTACTCTCTGTTACTTATGGCTGCTTAATTTCCATAATAACTATGTAAGAGTCTTTTCAGAAGCCTGTGGAAACCCAAACAGGCTGCATCAGTCCATGTGCCCCAGCCACATGCTGCTGATTTCTTCAGGGAACTTTAATAAAGTTGTGAGGCAGGATGTCCCTTTATAAAAGCTATGTTGGGGAATTTACTGGACAAGGGTCTTTTTGACTGTTTTTTCTATAAACCTCCACTACTGACACCAATTTCAGACAATTTATCTGGCATGGCCCCCATCAAGAGGCTTCTGGCATTGCAAACACCCAGTTCCTTCCACAGAAAACACAGATGCAAGGAATTCACTTGGCTTTTATCCTGACCACTTCTAGACATATGCCACAAATTAAATACAGTCCCATCTAGACATGAGCCAAAGCCACCAAACACAAAGCTCATAGATCAAGAGTTCTGCAAGCTGCTCTGAGAGGACTCTATAGTTGGACTCTAGGGAATTTAGATACAGAGGCTTCAGATATTTCAAATTCCAGTCTAAGACTCTGCCACCTCTGAAGGTGGGTAAACCTGGAACTGGACAAACACTATGTGTCCACTCTTCAGCAGGTCTAGTTCAGAAAGCAATGTAAATACATGAATAAATTATAATGGAAAGAAGCTAATTCTTCCTCTCTCGCCTTTCTGTGAAATACATTTGACTACCAAGCGATCCCAGGTAACTGGGTTTAGTGCAAACACTGTGGATGAAATAATAAGGACTGCAATATAGAGAGATCCATTTGGGACTGAAATATTTTGAACCCCAGGCAAATACTTTCAAAAATGTAGAAGAAACAGGCAATTTTTAGAAATGAGGGATTTATTTTTTACTTGCTCAAATAATTCCCAGTTGAGACAGTAACAATGCTAACAGCCCCATCCAGACATATCTAATTTCTAGACAAGGGAGATCAGTCTGTGAACTATTTGGAACTTTTAACCTTTAGCAATAGGAAACTACTTGTATCCTGCTATAATGATCATCTATTGTTTTAAAGTACTTCCCAGGCATAAGCTAGTTACCATTTACAGGAAATACTCATACTAATAAACAGACTGCATTTGAGCATACGTGAAGTTGGTTAGTAATGTAAGTAAATGTCTCTTATTACATCACAAACCTTGCTGTTTTCTCTACTAACCGATAACTTTTTTTCCAGTTAACTTCCCACACATCTGAGCATGATATCATATCGTATCCCACCTGGTGACTTGGTAAGGAATTGCAATTTATTATTTTTATAAAGCTTACCGGTGGTGAATGCAGCAACAGCATGTATGTACAGCTCTCTAGACAGACTTCACGGCTGTGTCGTAATATTACATCTCATTTGGTTTATTCTAGATATGATTCTCACAGAGAGAAGTTGCTTTTGTGGCTGTGGGTATGTTACTCACTTCTCACTAATCTGGAGATAAGGCTCCTCGCATCGTACTGGGTCTAAACATTTATATTCTCCTGGGATATTGAAACACGTTTGCTGCGCAGTGCAGGTGAAGTTTCTGTTTTCACATTCATTGATATCTAAAACACAAGGAGCAAGAGAAAGGCTAAAGCAGGGAAATATGTACAAGACATCACCCCAACAAACCCGTTTCCATCTTAAGGAATTGCCCCAAAATTAATAAAACCCTTGCACCATGAGAAGTGGCCTTTTTATAATTGTCTCCTCTTTAAAGATCGGTTTTTACTCCATTCATTTCTGCTTATTGGAGTGTTTCCATATGCCAAGTGCTGCAAAAAAAATGGAAAGAAGTTGGCTGCTCAAGCTTTCTGACCTTAGAGAATGGGAAAAAGAGACGTGCAGCAGAGGAGAGAGCATTTGAGGTCTTTCCTGTGTAGCTGTTTCCTAGTCAATAAAGTCTTACTTAAAACAACACACCAGTTCACCTCATTCACGTGATGACATTCTTGCCAGATTTACATAATTGGCCCTTAGGAGTATTTGTCTGCACAATGCCAAGACCAAGCATCTCAGTTCTTGAAAATCTCTTTCTAGACATGGGATCTATTTTCTAGTCCCCTCAGGTTTTAAACAGTGCAGGAATGTTCTTACCTTGGCAGCTTCTACTATCGTCAAGCAAGTTATAGCCCGAAGGACAGATACAGTAGTAAGAACCAGGTCCGTTCACACATTCATGCTGGCAGAGGAACTCTGAGAAGCTGCATTCGTCCATGTCTGCAGTGGTAAAACAAAATTTAGTGTCTTTGGCTTTACTGTCAAAAGAGAGTCCCACAGGCAGGTGGCCATCTAGGCTACCTGCCCATCACCCCAGCTGGCACCCTCCAGCTCCCTAGAGCTCTGCAATAACCTGACAAAATGCTGTACAACAAGTTCTTGCTTAAACAGTTTTTCCTAGGAAAACCAAAGCTGCTGCTGAACACAATGCATGGCTTTTATTTATTTATTTTTCTTTTCTAATACCTGTCACCAGCTGGCCATGTTTTCAGTTCTGTTTTACGTCAGAAATAGAGATACTCCAACAACAAAGCTGCAACTGCAATTTGAAAGGAAAGACTTGGCAGTAGTTTTCTTCTCTTTTTTTTCCCCTTTTATTGGAGAGCAAGCTTCCCTTTCCCAGGGCCACATGGGTCCCAGCAGAACTCTGCAGCCAGCCCCGTCTGTTTTATGTTTCTTAGCCTCTAGTCAGTTGCTTCCAAATCATTCCAGCAAGACTTCAGAGCTCATCCCAGCCTGGGTCAGACCTACTGGAAGGCCCAGCCATCTCCCCGATACCCAGGAAACTAAGCAGTCTTTCAAAACTGATTGAAAGCAGAAACTGTGCTCTTTTCCCCTTGCACTCGTGAATTGACCAGTCATTGTGTTCTGCAGAACTGTGCTCAGGTGAGAAAGACAAACTTCAGAGCCGCACGTGGAGGCACGGCTGACTGAGGAGAAAACACATGCGAAGGTGCTAGACTGAGGGAGGCTGCCATTAATCATTTCCTTATTTCCCTGTGCAGGGGAAGAAAGAAACAAAGGCCAGAGCCCCAGCCAGGAACTCCCAAGTTCTTATTCCCAGCTCTGACATGTGGACTCTTCCAGGCGAATCACTTTTACTCTTCAGACTGAATTTCCCTTTCTTCTAAATTGGGCTCAGTCCATTTATCCACTTCTGGTGGGTTGTGCAGAGGGATTGGAAAGTATTTGAAGTTCAAACATGTTAAAGTAGCTTTATGGCTGAAATCACATTATCAAAAGGGAGATAAAAGGAACCCTACACATACATAGTCCTTTTATTGTGCAGGTTTCCCCAGTGAGTTTATTGAAATAAATACCTTCCTGACAAAATATGGACTGAAGGCTGACTTCATAAAGTGACTGAGATATCACTCACCCCCTCAAGGCATCCTAGCCCAGACCTCAAGCACACTGGATTTGTATGACCAGTGCCCAGCTGCTGTCAAGTGCTGAGGGGCTTAGAGCCCCAAGGGTCCTGCATTTCTGCTGCTGAGCCCACAGTGTTCCTAAACAATTTTGGCATTCTGCTGACTACATGGAAACAACAAGATAGTAGGCATTTCAGAGCACATCTAATGCACTTGGAAGACCTCTGTGATTAGAAAATAATGATGTCAGGAAACCAGGTTGAAATCTCTGCCTCTCTCCTTGAACTGGAGCAGGGATGACTCCCATCTTCAAGGTAAGTTGGCTGCTAGGCCATGGACTAATCCAGCTCCTGTTGAAGTACATCTGAGCCCAGCCTCATGAGTGTTCTCCTAACCAGGCATTCCCTTTGCAAACCTCAGAGGTGTCTAGCGATTATTTGTGAAGTGAAGGAAGCTCATCCAGAGAAATTTGACCTGCTTTGACAAACATTTTCTTGCATAGGATTGTCAGAAAAAGATTTTCTGCTCTAAATCTGGGTGGTGGAGAGTCCCTTTTGCTGGCTTAACTCTCAGACATAGATGAGGCTCAAGCACCACTTTACGCGGCGTTGGAATAAACTTATCTGGTTCAGGCCCCCAAGTAGCTCAGAAGATGAGCACATAAAAAGGTGCAGGAGACCAACTTAGAAGAAGAAATTCCTTTAGAAAGCAGAAAACTTAGATTAGGTCTTGCAGTCTAAATGTTAAATGCATAAGACCCTTTAAAGATTTAACCTTTGCTCTTTCCCTTATAATAAAGAGTTTTGCAAGGAAAAACATCTTGGGAAACTCTAACCTATACACACACTGCATCTCACACATCTTCTGTCTCTGAAACATCATGTTACACCTGTTTACTGTAACTTAAAGTATAAGTATTTTCCAGTGCATTTTTCCTTCCAAGAAATATTGGCTGGATTCCCTAATTTTATCAGGTTGTGGGAACGTTAGGCAAAGAAATAAGTTTTGCCTTCAATTAAAATAATAAACTGAAAACAAAAACAAGAGAGGAAAAAGTACAGTGACGTAAGCACAATTCTGCTATGTGCTGAACAGATCAGCAATAGCTGTACTAAGAAACCATATATTGTTTCTGAAGTGTAGCCAGAGCCATACAGGGGAAACTGGGAAAGGTTTCAGGCAGAAGTGAGCAGCCGTAGGAGTGAGAGGAATACATACATTCAACAGACAAATGGAAAAATGCTTTATATAACGTATTTCATTAATCATGGAAGAATGTTCTAGGACTATATCTACTTTCTCTAATAAAGCTTCCTGTTTAGCATTACAAAGTGCTTTCTTATGTTTTGCTGTTACCGTGGAGCTTTTGAATGTTTAGCTTATTTCTTTAAAACCATTTGCAGCCCTCCTCCACTGAGCTTTTCTGGGTATTTGCTGTGTGCTTTAGCTGGAAAGAAGATCATATGAGTTGTAGCTACCCTGCTGCTAACCATGGACGAAGGTAAAAAACTTCTTAAAAAGTATGTACAAAGTAATACCTTGGAAAAAGGAAACTTAATACAATTAAAGAAACCAAAATGATAAATAAAGACAGTTACCACTGCAGTTAACTCCGTCAGCTTCCAGTTCATAGCCAGGTTCACAGCGGCAGAGGAAAGAGCCATAGGTATTGACACAGGTCTGAGTGCAAGGGTTTTCAGTTGTACATTCGTTCACATCTGTGGGAAAACAATGCCAAATGCATCGCTGATTCTCCCCAAACTCTATTTTCAATTTTTTACTGTAAAGCATCTCAAAGAGATTAGCTGTGCAGTCAGAATGCTTTGTTCTGAGAAAACATAACCAAGTCCGTGTTGTTTATTGGGATTCAGGCTGATGCTTGGGAATAGCATGTTGGAAACACAATGAAGCATTTTGGGAATGTCTTCAACCAAAAAAATAACACGGAAGATGGAGATGAAATATTTATTACAATTGTTTCTGGTTTTATCCTACAATTTTAAAACCATTGAACCCATACTGTCATAACAGACCTGAGAAGAAATGCTCAGTGTTTCCTGAGGAAGATAATGCAATGAGGAAGCACCCTCACGGAAACCTTGGGCTAAGGCAAAAGCAATTTTTTTTCCTTTTAGGACATTAGCAGCTTCTGGCCATCATTAGGACAGACCTTTTCCTGCAGCATATGGGAAGATACTCCGTCCTTTGCTAAGAAGTGGCTCTGTGAAGAGTTTGAGTTGACTTTGATTGAGGTAGCACATCACAGCAAAAGGTGGTCTAACGCTCAGGACCCCAGTCTGGAGCCTGGGAGACTCTAACCTAATTTACTCATCTTACAAAGTTTTCCTGTCTCAGGTGGGTCACACAGGCTCAGATTTTAATAGTAAATTCAGTGCCTAAACTCTTGGCAATTTCAGTGAATTGAGTGAATTGAGGCTTGGGCCTCTGTGCATATTTCTCAAGATACACCCGTCATGTTGCACCTGTACCCCTTCAAGGTACAGTGAAATTACAGAATATCTGTCTGACAAACCTATGAACATTTTCAAAAGCAACACTGGGAACATTACTTGTGTTCTTAAAACGAAGTAAATTTTAAGGATTTTGCTGGGCTGGAACCAAAGCCTTCAGTCATGGTTTACCATACACATACCTTGGCACGATCTTCCGTCATCATTAAGGGTGAAGCCTGGGTTGCAGGTGCAGGAGTAGGAGCCGGGCACGTTGGCACACAGCTGCTGGCAGTAGCCGTAGCGACATTCATCTATATCTATAGAGGGGAAGAATGAGAAGTAGAGTGGTCTGCATTTTCACATGCAGATACAAAGCAGCAAAAACACTGAGTTACCAGTACCAGTAACACAGAAACAACCCAGCATACTGGTTATGGATGTAAGAGCCAAACTTCCAGGCATTCAGATACAGAGTTATATTAAGATACATTTCTAGCCAGTAGAATATATAATATATTTTTATCCACATCTGACATCTATCAGTATGCCTGATGAATTGATAGTCATTGCTGTAATCTTCAGCTTAATGTGAATCAGGAAGCCCAGTCCATTCCTTTAAGCAGCTACTTCAAAGCATACCTGATACACAGCCCACCAGCACAAGCACAGCCAACATTGCAGAGAAATTTTGCCAGAATCAAGGTAAAAACCTTTTTTGCTCCACATATACCAAAGCTACTCACTAGAAAAGCAGTGTTCGTTACTAAAGGCTTCTTTTTTTAGTGAGGATATTCTTTTTCCCCTAATAGTCACATTCACATTTTATATGAATTTTTAACTGACAAATTATAGACTGTGTAAACAGTTAATTTAATGCCAAAATAGCAGCTTGGGCTGAATTGCAGCATTAGCAATGCATGCAACTCACTGTTACAAGCACAGGAAAATGCTGTAAGACGTAAGATGGTAAGTGTTAGAATTTTGCCCCATGACTAAGAACTAAAATGAAACACCTGGAGTAGTTGTCCTTTCCAAGGTTTACATTTCCTTTAGTATCAACTGGTGTTTGATTTATGGAGATTTTTTTTTAATGGCTGCTCTCAAAGCTTTGAAGCCAAGTTTGTGCAGTAGAAACCCCAGTGCATTATCTCCAGTCAGTTAGCAACATAACCTAAAGGTCAGGTGAGTGATGGTGAGTACACCAGCACTAGGCTTGGCCCAAATCCTGCAAAAAGGGACATGTCTTTTAAATAAATTAATACCTCATTTCACTGACACAATGCATTACTTTAGGTACATGCTTTGTCTTTTGCAGGACTGTTATCTCAAGAGTGCTACATTTTGGAGATAATGACTTTTACTGGGCTTCGTCTTGTGGATGTATCATGTGGATATGGTTGTACTGGTTCATCTTTGTAAACTTTACAGGGATAATTGCAACAGATAGAAGTGTAGGGTTCTGTAATTGTGGTTTACTAACAGTGCACCAAAAAAACCTGTCGCTAAAACCCAACTCGGCCCTCTGATTGCAGTATATTTTCTTTTACTGCTTTATGCTAGCAAAGCAAAAATCACTTCTCCAAAGCCAGTGGAAAGTATTGAAAACTGAGAGGTTTTACACTTAGAGAAAAATATAGCAACTCTAAACACAATTCGCTTTTCACTGTTTGCATTGCCTTGTAATAATCCACCCCAAGATTGCTCAATTGGGCAATACTGGGATGTTATTGCCTATTTTAAATAGCATAACAGATACTCAAATTAATTCAGCAATGCAGTCATTTCAGTTCTCTGGTATATCCAGCAAGCAGTAGCATGTCTTAGATCCATGCCCAAATCCTGAATGCCACACAAAACCTTGTCATTTGGCCTGTAACTGGGAGAAGTAACTGGGTAACAGAACAGGTGATGCAGAGCAGAATCCCCCTCTGTGCTCTCCTTCATCCCCTCCCATCACATATGCCTGTACAACCTCCAGCACAAGCTTTTTTTTTTTCCCCAAGAGAAGTTGATTTATCAGAGATTAAGGAGCAGGGGCCTTGGAGACTTCATACTCCAGGGGAACTACAAGACAGTGCCCCCCTGAAATGGCTATGGCTGCACAGATCCCAGCTTGGACAGGGCTCAGCTCTGTCCCTGCCAGGTGAATTACATAGCAGCTGTTTGCAGTAGTTAGGAAAGCAGTCATGACTGAGTCCTTCACCAAATTGGTACTTAGGAGGAGAAAGCCAGAAAATAACTGGATATGGCCCAGGTATGCATGGGCAGGAAAAGCCCATTCTCCTTCCAGTGGAGGTGTGATGGGACAGTTCAGCTCTGCAGAGCTGGCAGCAAACAGCCTGCCAGCTGAAAAACTAATAATGAGGGAAGAACTAATAATAAGTAAACTTTTCTTAGAAAAAGTTGTATCCTAATTCCCAGGTCTTATCAGTTTACCTAAAATTAACATCTATGTCATCATCCCCCGGGCATATCAAGTGAGGGGAATGGGCTGGCAGAGAGGGGAGATGGAAGGTTTTCTCGTGCTGTTTGTTGAGCATTGTTTTTTTCAATAGGACTGAGATAAAAGAATGAACAAGACATTGCTGCAAGGAAAATAATAAAACTGAAATAAAACTTCTTGGAAGCTACTGAAACAGCAGCCAGTTCAGAGGTAATTTTTTTCAGACCCCCAAGCAAAAGAATTGGTTGACTCTAGGGATTTAGTCTCAGTTCTATTTCTTGGTATCAAATACAAATCCCTTCGGGTCCCCACTGCCACAGTGAGGAAAGGACAGGTCTGTTTAGGAAAAATATTTTTGTAAACGTGCTTGTGATTGATCTTACATGAAAGGGAATCCTTCAGACTGGGAATATGAAAATCCCACCTATTACATGGATGCTAATCATATGGCATTTACATCTACATTTTTGTTCCGAGAGGTAGTCTCTCTGCCAAGCATACCATTGGCACTTACAAAGACAGAAGACAGTTTCCACATACTGAAGGTTTAACTGTGTACTTGACAAAAATGCTTAGTGACATTATTTCAGAGATTCACAGGTACATATGCACAGATGTTAAAATACCATATCACATAAGGATTTACCTAAACACTGGCCTTCTAACAGCCAGTAGCCTTCAGTGCAGGAACAGGTATAGCCCCCCTCAGTATTTATGCAGATCTGGGTGGGGTTACACTGGTGAGAATCTGAAGCGCATTCATCCACATCTGCAACACAGAAATACAGCAAGAAAATATTAAAAATGGCAACAACAACAGATAATTCACAATGTACTGTGTGTACACTGGCTCCATGCAACGAACCAAAGTGTGAAGGAGTAGAGACCATTACCTGACCATTACCTGAAGGAAAATTCACAATAATACATGTCTGAGGGCAGTGAGAACTGAGGGTGCCCATCAAATCTCTCCCTTTTGCAGGTGACTCAGTGTTTCTCAGAGTTCATCAAGGAAGATCTTGCATTATCTCAAGCTTTTTGTTACTTCCACTTTTGCTTTGTTACTGAGCTGGGATTTCCATGCTGCAGGGCAGTGTTCAGCCCTAGGGAGAGGCTCCTGAAAGGGCTGTACAACCCCACTGAAGACTAAAAGATGAACGGCAGTTCAAAAAATCTATAAACACAACTCAGACATATAAAAAAAATTACTTCCTACTGCCACCAATGCAGACTATCTCACTAACTTTTCAGACAGAAGGTTCAACCAAAATCAACCTTTACCTGACTAAAAAAATGTATGCATCCCTGGAATCAATTTCCTGACAATAAAATTATTTTCTTTTAATTTTTCCCCCCATCTTTATTGGTTTTAATGTATCTGGGTTTTTATTACAACCCCTTAGGGTGTTTTTGTTGTGGGCCTCTTTTTTTTCCAAAGTTTTTTCTTTTTTTTCCCCCACAAAGGAGGTGAATAGCATTCCTACATTTATATAAGCTAGGACCCTGGAACCTAACTGATTAAAAATGCCTTTCAGAGTCAGGAGTTCAGTTTGAATTCCTCTCCTGATGTTTCAGGCGTCAGGTTTGCCTATAGATATCAGAAACAGAAATATCAAAAGATAAATTGTGTCAGTTTTTCAGCCAATTCAGGTTTCTATGTTTTATTTATTGATACTTAAACTATTTTTTATTCCAGCATACTGTTCACTGGCCTTGGTGAAGTACTATGTCATCCAAGCAATGCTACTCCCTTGTTCCCCCCATGATTCTTATTAACCCAGACTTTGTTGCGTCATGACTGAAAGTATCTCACCAATGCCCTGGGCTGGAGCAGGCAGCAGAGGGCAGGAATTACAACTCTGTCTCTGCCCCCAAGGCAGCTAGCACAGCCAGTTGGCTGTACAATCCTAGCAGTGATGAAATAACGGATCCAGTCTACTACAGGAGCATATCTAACATGTTCAGATATATAAATAAATACATACATATTATATATATGGAGAGAGTCTAGAGTTCTTATCTGGCCAACATCTGTACCGGTTATGGTGAGTCAAAGCTGGTAAGATAACGAGAGGGGCACAATTAGAGGCAATTAACTCTGTCAGTTCCCATGTATTTATTGGCTAGATGAAAGCTGGCAAAACGGTGGGGGAAGTGGGAAAGCAGTAAGATAACCAGTCTAGACTACATAGGTCCATAAATATGTTGTTCAGTTCAGCTATTACTTTTGCTATTGGGCTAAAAAATCTGGATCCTCCCTTCATAGCATATCACATATAATTGGTTGTATCTGAACAGAGATTTTATCTAACCATAAATTTAATAACAATGACATTAATGTTTTCTAAATGAAAAAGTTTTCTATTTGTCATGCTTGCTTATTGTTTTAGGAGTGGGACCTTGGGATCTTGCCAATTCTGCTGTTTCTGGCCTGCACCAGGCTTAAAAAGGAGATTTTAATTTTCCATGTTCCCTGCTTCCAGTAATATTAATAGATGAAGCAAAGTGAAAACAAAATGAGGGTCACAGTCTCACCGCATATGAGAGCAATGCTGTTTGAAAACTATAGATCCTCCACTCTTTTGTGGTGCATCTCTCTTGCAGGGGTACGATGTGTGTCTTTCACCTAAAGCAATGGGTGGCTACAGGATCAGTTTTGTTCCTGAGTCATCTTCGCAGCAGTTGCATGAGCTCCACTCCAGGGAAGTAAGACATCGATCCTCTTTCCTTTGCTATATACCAAGCAGACTTATTTGCTTACTCCCAGTCTTGACCTTTTGTGGTAGTATTGGAAACATATTTCCATTTGAATGAAAAATTTTTTACAATGGAGGCTTCCTGTGGATTTTCTGCCAGAAAACCTGAAACTGTCTATGCAGAACACTTGGACTCCCCACATCTTGCCCTGAATAATACTTCACTGACTTCATTAATGAAGTTTTATGCAATCAACAGATATTGCTTGGGCCTGATAGCACACACCCAGTTCTGTATTACAGGTCTCTGGCTTTCTCTAAGATTGCCCCTTACCACAATGCACCATTAAACTTTGACAGACCCAGCCAATACAATCAAATCAATTATTTTTGACAAGAAGCCTTCACAGTTGAAACAGGTAGTGTAATCCCAGCCTGTCTGCCACGGGTTATCTACGTTACATGGACTCACTAGGTGAGAGCAGATGTTTGCAGACTGGGAATAGCATCAGTGCAACAATTAGGTATCCTCTTGAAGAATATCAGAGCTGGGAGACAGAGGGTGCCTTGCCCAGCTTATTTGCACAGTGCAGCATACAGTGAGAGCAGGTGTGGTTGATAAAACTAGACATTTGACAGGGAAAGGAAAAAAACTAAACCAACCCCAAATTGTTCCCACTGGGGAGAAAACTAGCCATACAAGTTCAAGAGATTGCCTGTAATGGATGAACGTAGAAACTGTATCAAAACACTCCGAGGGCATTTTCGTTAGGTTGGAAATTTGCAAGTGGAATTGCAAGTGGAACCTGACAGTTCATCAATAATGCGTCAACAATTTCTTATTCTGGTTGCACAGCTTTCTGTCCCATTCAAATGTAAATCTTAGGTGTGTTTATGCCCTGGGACTTCAAAGCCGTTTTGTACCACCTCTGCTTTTGTGATGGGTCATACATAATACTAGAGCAAAACCCTGATGCTAATTGTACACGATACTAGATTGCCAATGGTTTTGTAGGTTCAAAGCAGATGTGACAAATTCAGAGAATAAAAAACTACTGTAAGGCCTATTCAATACAAGCATGGCATATGTAGCTAAGAAGTCCCTGAGATGCATTTTTCTGAAGCCTGGAAGAGTGTGTCTGACCCAGCATAACTTGTGTCACAGTCTTCACAAAAAAAAAAAAAAGAAATAAATGGAAAGAAACACTGCAATGAATTGTTGTCTGAGCCTCAGAGTAAAGTCTAATCAGCCATAGAGCAGAAGAGTTACTAAAGCGGAGCATGCTAGCACCTAGAAACCCTACTGCCCTCCATTCAAGATGTTAACAAATTGTGATATTTGATGATCTCAGCATTAGTGCCAGGAAAGTCTCAGATGCTGTCACCCATCACTGGTGATCCAAGGATGGTTTTCATTACACTGAACCTGCTTTTAGTAACTTTCATCACCAAGATCCTTAGAAAACATTATCTGCATCCAAAGAGCAAGTCTACTTTACTAATAGCTACCATTTTTTGATACCTCTGGCTAGATCACTCAGTATGTGGCAACAAAGAAGAATTGCCATGAGGTGGACTAGGAAGGAAATACAAATTAGATCTATCCTCAATGAAAACAGATTATAGTACCTAGTAGCTAGTACCAAGTACCTGCTGTGCAGGACAAGGAGCCAGCACAGCAACAATGACCACACTGTAACTCATGCGCTGAGAACTTACCCTGTGGGAGCTCATCCTTGTTTTTCATCTTCCAACCCCCTGCTTCCTATTTGAAAAATAGGGATTACAAAATCTCTGTCATACTCCAGCATCCCTCACTCTTTAGCGCCTAAAACTCTTCAGGACAGGGCCTGCCCTCTTATATACAAAACCTGTTCACAGTGAGTCCATTTCTATTTGAAGCCTTCCAATCCTAACACAAATCAAACTGGACTACAAAACCCTGCAATGTCCCACTTGATGATAAATATCAGTTTACCTGGATTTTAACAAGGAAATTGAAGATTAAGGAATTAAAGGACTATCCTGTGACCACTTAACAAAACAGAAGCAAGAGGAGGTCACAGGTGTTTCTGACTTGTAGTCTTTCATGTAGCCCAATACAACCTGCCCTTATTATATGAACACGTAAAGATGCAACTTTTTCAGAAATTTTGTGCAGACTCTACATTGGCTAATGAAATCTAAAATAAAAGATTAACCATCATTCTGAAAGCGTTATGTTCTCCTAGGTGATCTCAGAGGCATCAAACGCTCTTTCAGCTAAATTCTATGGTACTCACAATGTTGCTTTTCTTCCCTAATGGTGCATGGAACCTCAAAGCTTCCAGTAGAAGAAACAGAGAGAGAATTATTGACATGGCCAGTGGCAAATGAAAAGTTATCTCGCTAGCACACCTATTCTTATTCACAGGACTGGGAATGTTTCTGTGAAATTATATATGAAAAAAAATTTAGGATGTTAAAGATTGTCATACCTAATAATTTTGAACATATCCAAAATTTTCCAAGTGATTAGCAACTTTGGGTGACTCCTTTGAGAGAGCAGTTGTTCAGCACTTTAACACCACACTAGAGAACGAAGGCTAGTAAGGTGGATCACTGTTCAAAACTTCTCTCACCGAAGAGTCCTTGGCCAACACTGGCCCCGGTTGTTTCGGTTCTTGATTATCCTCCTGTGTGCTATCAAATTAGTGGTCATCTATATTCTCTCACCCATCCTTCCAGTTGTTGTATTCACTTCTCTTATCCATCTTTTCATGTTGCTGTATTCACATTACTGCTCCCACAGCTAGTTCCAAAGGCAGAAGTTCAGGCAGAAGTTCAGACAAATTAAAATCTGACCTGAAGTGGGAATGATTCAGTTTGTTACTTCCCAGATGAATTCTGAGAGCAACCACATGGCCCATCCAAACCACTTCTCCTAAGAAATACCAGCTAGAACGAACACAGAGCTTCATGACTTGAAGCCACGAGTTTTAAAGATCTTTGGTTTACTGGCAGAATGGGAGAATAGGTAGATGGTATATCTGCACGTATTTTTCAGGAAACCCTTGCTGCAAGAGCCTAAGCT